CTTGCTGCAGGACGCAGGGACAGGAGCGGGAGGACACGTGGGCAGCACAACCAACTCCAAGGATGGGCCTCCCGCAGGCACGCAGCTGCATTAAGGCCCCCTCTTCTTACTAAATATTGTTAATCTACCAGAGAAACGGGAGGCAGGAAAAGGTAAACTTTTGTATGCTCGTCGTTATTTCTCAGGTGAAATCCCAAAAAGTGCAGAATGATGCATGGAGAGTGACCAGAATGGCTGCTGCCTGTCTTAGCAAGAGCAGGGCAGGAATACTCAGATTTGAAATGCTTCAAAAGGGGAGAAAAAGAAGAAAAAAGCAGCCTGAAGATAGCTGTAGTCCTGAACCTTGGAACAATCACCGCACTTTTTCATGGGAAGGGGAAAAAAAGAAAAAAAGAAAAAAAAAAAAACAGTGACAACACAACACTGGATTACTCACTGAGAAAGAAAAGATGCAGAGTAGGAAAAAGCAGTCCATGCCCCCACATCTTCAGGGGTAAGGGCAGAAGCCTCTTGCTTCTCCCTACCCCCGCACTGCTTTTGTGCAACCTGGACAAAGCCAGGAAGCGACAGCATCTTTCTCAGAAAAATAAAAAGCAAAAACAAATAAACAAATAAATCCCCCCAATGCCAACGGACAATCCCCACATCGCACATTACTGGAGAATGCCAGAAACGGGGAGACTTAGGAAACGCTCAGTTTGGAAATGTCCTATTTCTGTGCCTCTGGGTCTGGAAGAATAGACTCAGAGAGTTCTTTCTCCCCTGCAGCAAAATTTACATAAGCAGCTATTGCTACATAAGCATTAGAGACAGCTCAGGGAAATGCCCTGTTCTTAAGGCTCTCGAGTTTCATCAGATCACCGCGCAGGGCGTTGTATTTTTTTTTTTTTTTAATTATTACTCACACTTGTATACTGAATCACTTATAAAACAAATAAGGTTTAATAAGTTTCAATGCCCGGGGCTACCTCAACATGATGACATCTCTGTCACGCAAGAACTGGGAGTGCTGCGCCCCGCGGCAATAACTAAAAAGCTGTTTGATATAATGGCAGGTTTAAAAGCAAACCTCCGGACCAAGAGAATTTAAAATGCAGATTCTCGAAACAGCCTAGATGTTTCCTTCCAGTAAACAAAAGCTGGAGAAAAAGTTGGCCATTTCTTCACCATCCAGCATTTATAGCCTTTCAATTAGGAAGCCACGCAAGCTACCCAAGGGCTTGAGCAAAGCGAATGCAACGCGACTCTTTTGGGCTGCAAGAAAAGCAGCAGCAGTTTGAAAAAGCGAAGCTGGAACTCGCAGGCACCTGCTGGGGAAGGCTGCACTACCCACGACAGGTGTACGGGGGAAGCAGCAGGGAGAACGCCCCGGCGGAACGGGAGCGGGAGGAGGAGACTCCGGGCCGCACGGGGGCAGATCAAAGCGCAGGCGGGCAGCGCCGCTCGCCGCACACCCAACCTGCAGTTTCAGTTCATTGAAATGCGGGGGTTTCGTGCCGTTTTCAGGCACTTTGGCCACTGCCACCTCACTGCAAGCTCCTTCCTCCCTGCAGACTATAAGTACCATAAAATCATAATCCCCAAATTGGTCTAACGAGGAGAGGGCAGGACTTTTTTCCCCTCCACCCTTGTTCAGGGCAGTATCACATCCCTGCCCTGCCTTTCTGAGCAGGGACCCAAAAGTGGCTGCGTGCCCCCATGCAGCAAAAAACCCAGGCAGGGCTACAGTTTGACTCTTAAAGCAAAGAGTTGTTGGAGGAATTAGCTAAAGATTTTAAAAATTGTTGGCACAAATTTTAGTTGTCTGTCACAAGGACATGGCCTGCTTTATACAGTGAGCAATGACTGACTTCATTTCTATGTGGGCTGTTAAAAATCTTCCGATTCAATACTAATTTTTTCTTTATTTTAAATACTGCTTTTGGTTTTGGTAAATATTTTAACAACATGCAACTATTAAAAACATTTTTATAAAATCCTCAACATTAAACTCCTGAAATAAATATTTTCTACTCCTCTTAAACACGGCTGGGTACACAAATCCCTGCATATATATCTTCCCCCCCCCTCCAAAAATAATCTCTAATGATACAATTTGTGCTTGCATTGTACTAACAAGACTAAAAAAATCCAGGACTCAATGCAAGAAAAGGCTTTAAAAATTCAGCCTGCTCATACCTACCACCTGGAAGAGGAAGCGCTAGCACCAGGACACGACTGAAACTGGTTCGATAAATAAATTCTCCTATCTGACCAGGGGGAAGAAAATAAAAGCACACAAAAGCAAGCAGGCCGGCTGCAGCTTCCAGGTATATTGTATCACGTTCGAGTTTCGATTCTACTTGTTCAGGATTCACCTGTTTCGCTTAGTATGCACTAATGAACAGGTGGATAGAGCCAAAGCCAAAGTCAAAGGAATTATGACACTAATGTATTAAACATCCTGCAGGTCTCATCATGCACTCGAACGGCAAACACTCAGCCTCCTTTCCAGATCTGACAATAAAATGATGAAACATCACTCTGCCTTTTGAAACCTACTGCAACGCATACAAATAACGCTTCCTCTTGCTTCAACAGCAAGTTCTAAGTTATTCTAAATATAGAAAGTTTCTCCCAGCTTCTGATCTGGAAGAGCTGGTGAACAAAAACACCCTCACGCACACGCACGCACTCACTTCTTTTTCAGAGCTTTGCTTTGGTGCTTAGCACCTCACTGCACAGAAGGCCTCAAAGCAGTTATTTAGAAAGAGCTGCTCATTTATGCAAACTAGAGAAACTCCCACCAAGGGCAGTGAACGCGTGACGGTGCACGGCCGCTCGCTCTGAGCAGCGCTTGCAACCCCTCTGCTGGGCCCAGCAACAAAACCAACAAGAAATATCTCCCCTCCTCCTATTACTAGCCTTATAATACTGTATGATAAAAATATTGTGTTTATAAAAATATAGATATTTATAAATAAACATGTTTTTAGAATGTAGCAGTGTGATCTTACTACTATATGACCATGCAGTTCATGTATTAAAAAAATTCTCCTGTGTAGTATATTAATCGTAAAACACAAACTAAGGATTCAGCTCGAGTCATGAACTTTTACACACAATAAACAGCATTAAACAAATGCACCCATTCAGACTAGCAAGGAAAAACACAAAAAATAGTGATTTCTTTCAGCCTACTCAAAGACACCATCTAGTACGTTTCGTATTTCTGGGAACAAATACTTTAGCTGGAAAAGAATGGCCAAAACAGCTCTCTCACATTTTGACTATCCACTCTGAAAAGCCAAAGAGGGCAGCCCAGACACTTCTATTTGTGTGGTTCCTATTAAATTTTCAAGGGTTTTGTACAAAGCCAAAAAAAAATTAATTATGATATGACTACTATATATGTATAAAATTAGATGTTGAAAGCTTGTTTTGACCATTATTGAAGTTGTCAGTATGGATACTGCTAAATTGCATTTGTTGATGACAAGTGTGCTTAAAGAGAACATGCACAGGTGGAGGTTACATTGAGAAGTGTTACAGAGAAAATTCAAGCTTTATATCACTTGTTATTAAAAAAAAAAAAAAAAAAAAAAAGAGGAGCCTCTCGGTACATTTACTATGTGCTGAGTGGTACTATAGCAATACCAAATGGAAAAAAGAAGCAAAAACAAACCAAAAAACCATAAATACAATCCCGTATGTTTTAAAGGAAAAGCAGTATTTACCAGGGCCTGGAGCATGCCGTTTATGACGACGGTCCCCTGCACGGTCTGAAAGGAGGATTTAGATAACACTGAAAGGGTCCAGTCCAGAAAATCTGCCATCCGTTTTTGCCGGACATCAGGACGGACAATAAATCTGTCACAAGGAAAACATAAACAAAACACTGCAGTTACTAAGTTCACGACTCTCAGTTAAATTCTGATTTTTCCAACTATCCAAACTGGTTGCAGCTCCCAGAGGGAATTCTCCTAGGCATTTTCCTAAACCTTTTGGGGGTGGAAATAGCTCAAACATCAGCTGTTTAGGCCTTCTGCTTGTGAGCAAGGCTCTGATCCAAAATTTGACTCATAAATATACCAAACTATTAACTAGAACTGTAAAGGTGTCTCACTATTTGTAAAGCTTTAAAATTTACAAAGTTCCTAGATAAAATTACTTCCATCACAATTAGTGAAAAGCTGAAACAAATACACAATAATTCTCAACAAGAACAGCCGTCCTGCAATTGCAATCTGCTCAGTAACAGATCCACGCTCCACACGTATCACGTGGATCTGTTCCAAAGGCCACTCAGAGCAATCACCCATAGCAGATTTTTATTATTATTTATTTTATTTTTTTTTATATTTGATAAGGTCAAATACTTACTGCTTATCAGGCAGAAGGGGTTAGAAGATGTATTTTAATCCATCTTACAGAGGACCAAAAGGGTTCATCATGGTTAAACTATCTCCCTAAATGCTTTAATGGAGTCATCAGCAGTGCCTGTCAAGCCATAGTTAGGGCCCATCCTTCAGCACCTGAAGTTTGTGGTCCAGCAGAGGGATCCAGCCTAAACTTAGAACTTTGTTCTCAATATAATCAAAGGAAACAAGCAGTATATGGCAAAGGCTACAAAATACAGCCCCCAGGCTGTACAAACAGGGTAAGCAGAGAGCCCACACCCGCTTCCTCCAAGCACCGACCGCTCACATAGGGAGCTACACCAAGAGCTTGTTAGCAAGGAATACCAAATCCAGAAAAAGCAGGACAGCTTGGACAGACATGGATCACTTGAGCCAAAGCCCATGACTACTTCTGCTCAGCAGTGTAAGTATGAGGAAGGAGGGCCCGGTTAAGGGGTTTTTTTACTTTATTTTTTTCCCTTTGAGAGAGCAGCAAGGACAGAGCTGCCTTTTGCAGGCGCGCCCGGCAGTAGCAGCAGTGACTGGTGCCTGGACCCCTTCTCAGGGGTTAAACCCGCCCAGACCTCCAGGCACGAAGCACCACAGGGAAAGGCCCAACCTCCTCCTGCTGACACCAGGTCCCCAAGCAACCAAAGAGGACAACCATGGAACGAACTCCAGCTCCTCTGCATTATGAAACGGGAAGGACTTGGGACAAGGCAAATCTTGGATTTTGGTGGTTCCTAATTTCCGTCCCCCCCAATTTAGAAACTCCTTAGGGCAAGAACCAGAACCTAGACTTCCCCTTTGTCTTCTCTTTCACTCTCTCCCTCAGGAGTTTCCTACTCAACGGAGCAGTTGGACCATGCCAGGAGCAGGACTCCAGCAGCCCCGGCTCCCTCCCCACCTCACTGGGAGGATGGACGGAGAGGGCTGTCACCTCAAGCCCACCGCTACACTCTGCTCACCAGAGAGCTTCTCCTGGATACAAGAGCAGGCAATTCAAGCGCACTCGAGCCTAGGGCCTACGTCTTCTATTTCCCAGGGTTTTAAGCATTAGGCTACTTTGAAAATGGCATTTTCACATTAACTAAGCAACGACAGTAAATAACTAAACCTAAACTAAACAGTAGGTTTTGCTCCTATTACTGTCTTAAGCAGGAGTGTCTGCTCCAAAGCTGCATTGGCGAAACTGTCCTGGCAGAGCCCCCTAGTGGACACAGGCTGCAGCGAGCGCAGGGCGGCCAGGCCAGCACGGAGCCTCGGGAGAGGGCGGGACGGGGCAAAAAAAGGGAAAATTGGGAAATCATGAACCGCGCCGAGTAAAGCCCTTCTCCAAGAGATTATACTGCAATAAGATATGTTGACTAATCACACTTCAGGCCCTTTATCATTTACTTTCATACATTTATCATACATTATATCATTCACTTTGCATCACAAATGAGTAACAGTACAATATAAAAATTTTCTAAGGGGTATAAGTCATAGTTCATGACCACTGTGAGAGTCAAGGCCTGGTCCCCCACTGCTTTACACCTCATCTTCTCACTTACTCCAATGGCCTAAGCTAGCCAATTGTCAAGGTTATATTTTCCCATGAATGCGATTAGCTATATTTTCTAAAACACACTAATTCTAAACTTCCTAATATTCCTAAAATGTTAGGAAATGGGAGTGTACAAGATGACTATTTCAAATTTATAATAACCCTAGCAACATAGTTACAGAAGTGATGTAGAAAAAAAAAATCAGAAAAAACAGCACCTCAGCCACAAGGAAGTTTCTTGGTGTCTGAACACATAACTGAGTAATTTTAGAGAATCTCCATCCTTGCAGATACCCAAACACCATATGGGCACAGCCCTGGGCAACCTACTTGAAGTGTCCCTGCTTGAGCAGGTTGGACTACATCACCTCCAGAGGTCCCTTCCAGCCTCAACTAGGCACTCATGGTGTGCTCTTTTCTAAGTCCTTCAAAACCAGGGAAAACACTCTGAACTCTGATTATTCTGTCAGCAGTAAACTATTACTGTGCTCACACCTGTTTTGTTGGTAAACAGAAGAAAATCTAACATTCTCAATGACAAGTAGACTATTTGCAAGTTTAGCACCTCACAAACAATTGCCAAGCTTTCAGCCCTGCCAACACCATCATTAGTGCTACTGTCAGACTCCAAACGAAGCACAAGAGACTTACTTTGAAACCAGTACAGCAGCTGCATCACGAGCCTTATCACTGACAACCAAGTAACACTAAAAGAAAAAGAAAAAAAAGCATCAAAGTTCACATGTGCAGATTTAATAATGCAGCTACATAACGACTTAGTGCATGAAATGCTTATAAACATGATACTAAGCCTAAAACAGAACAAAATTAAATATTCTACTTAACAAACCACATCCCAGACAACAGTCTTGCTTCCAGTGTCTTTGAGAGAACTTTTGCATTTACTGAAATCTTAAGTTACAGCTGTTTTTGGGCTAGCACATGTCTACAAGTGAAGAGTCATCTAAGAGCTGCTACTGTGAGAGGGAGAGGTGGTTCAGGTATGTGTGTGTTGTAAGTCCTTTAAGATAAAAATAAACCACAAATTAGCCATTTCTGTTTATGCTCACTGAAAGTTTTGTATCTTCACCAAAAATTTTTCATGCATTCCCAGCTTCTCAGAGCTGCTCATCCTGATCAAATGGTAATTACCTCTATAAATCATACAATTTGGTTTTCAGGAAAACCAGCTAGTATTTTCATTTTAGAAGATTTTACAGTAGTAAATATATAGTAAAAACCATGCATTCATACCAGATAGTCATAAAAGAAAATAGTTTGTTACTTTAAGGAAAAAAAAAGAGTCTCACCCGACATTAAAGATTCAAGTACATATTACAGACTCTAAAGCTATGGAAAAAAAGCTTTACAGATTAGATACAGAAAATTGCCTTACATATTATTTGAAAACAGGGCATTTTACTCTATACTGAAAGATTAAGCCTGAAAAAAAAAAAAAGGTCACCGGTTTGAAAGCATTATGGGATGTATTATACTTACCTTTGCTATTTTGAGGATACGATCCATTGTTGGCACTCGAGCATCCCCTTCTTCGGAAAGATTTCCATCGAAACGGGCCAGATCAAATGGAATCAAGCATATCATGGAGAGCCATAATAAAAGCATGTAGCGAGTCTCCCAAGTCTGGACAAGAATGGTAAAATAAAATATACACTCCGTATCCTAGAATGTACTGCAGCTAAATGGCCTGGAGCACAGCCCTGCCACTAGTTCCAAGGAGCTTTTAAATCAAGAAGGCAAAGAGAAAACTAAGTCCAAATATTCTGAAACACCAAAGGAGACAGAAGTGCAAGAGATCCCAAACAGGCAAACTGGAACAAGGGATGCTCCCCTTGGACCTAGAAGTATCTTGTTCTTTCTCACTTCTCACTTAGTGTTTTCATGGGCTATCGAAAAAAACAGTCTAGAGACAGATGGACAGGATGAAACTTTTATGGAGCTTCTCAGATAGGGTTTCACCAGAAAAGCTAAGACATCTTAAATCGATGCTCTCAGTGCATAAAAGGAATAGCTGTTACACAGATAGCTGTAAGAAAAACCAATGACACTAGTTTTGTGGAAATCCTCTTAAACATCCATCTCAATAAGCCTCCAAGAAATTGTACTTTCCCTAATACAATAGTATGAAATATGGTATCACAATCCATCTCTAAAAAGACTTTACCTAAATTTTTTTGCCAATCATAATTCTTGCCCAGAACATCCTCAGAGAAATAAAGCTTAAATAAGCAGAGTAGCTGATGAAATCGTATTGCATTGTTTTTACAAACAGGTAGCAGAAAATTTGAAATTCTACGTTATTTCTTCACATGCAAAAAGTATGTTACAAAAGGCAAAAATCCATGCCCAAACTATTCAATTTTCCCCAACTTTCACCTCTTTTCTTTCAAAACGAGAAGGGGAAAAAAAAAGCCCCTTATACATCTGAACAGAGGCACAGGAGTGGAGGGGACAAATTATGAAATTGAACAAGAAAAACAAAGCATCTTCCTCATTTCCTGCACACATTTGTTCCTCAAAAGAGGAGATGTCCTACCATATTTGAAAACCCAATGCTTTTAAAAATGTGTCCTGCTGATATGAAGAAACAGGAACGGAGATCTCAAAAGTAAACTGCTGTTTTCTGTGATTTTACTTCCACAACTTCAAGCTAAATTAATATAACCACTGAACACTATCCATAGTAGAAAGATATTTTTCAGTTACACCTTCCAGAAATTCAGTATCTTTTGCTGCCATTCTTTTTACTGTTGCTTATACTAATTTCTTCCCTCAATGCAAATTTCACTTCCACTTACACCTCTTTGTATCTAAATCTGTAGAACACATCTAACAAAGGAAAAAAAACACAAGATCTCTCCCCCAATAACACACTGTTTCTTTTCTGACAGGTGACTTCAATATTAAATCCAACTATCCAGTTATCTTCCCCCTGCCCCAGAATTTTGCAAAATTTCATAGGAAATGTAAGAGTTAAACAGAAAGCACAGTGAGTTCTCACCTCACAGTCTTTTGGATTCTGTTCTGCAAGCATATCCAAAACAGGCTGTAGATCACCTACTTCATGAGGAAACTTTGGGAGGAAAGATTTGTACCCTCTCACCTACAAAAGAAACAGTACCACAAGTTAGTAAGCCATATGCCATCTTCAAGGACGGAAGGAAAAGAGCCTTGAGGAGCTTCTTCTGTAATTTCCTTGTATCAAGAACCATAAGAATATGAATTCATTTTTTAAATGTGTCCAAGGTCTTTAAGTTGTTACATGCTTAATAAGAATGAAAGGAAGTTTTTTGTTTGTTTGTTTTAAAACTTTAAAACAAACACCCCAAAACTGGCTCAATAGATAATCGGCTCCTGCTCAAGGCATATTTACATTTACTTTTGGCACAGACCACTGAAAAGCTTTGTTGAACCATTATATAATTGTACAGTCTATCTCTATTTTAATTATACTTTCCATATATAGATATACATACATGCACACACACACTTCATGTATTTTCCATAAATATGCATATAAAAAACATTATGACAGTCATTTCAATCACTCAGCATCCCAGTGTCTGCATTTTTTCATTGCTTTTTCCTCTCAAGATCATCCAGTCCAATCCCCTGCCCCAGCAGGGACACCCAGAGCATGTGGCACAGGGTGGCATCCAGGCATGTTTGGAGATCTCCAGAGAAGGAGCCTTCACAGCCTCTCTGGGCAGCCTGTGCCAGGGCTCTGGCACCCTCACAGGAAAGAAGTTCTTCCTCATATGGAGGTGCAACTGCCTGGGTTTCAACTTGTACCCGTTACCCCTTGTCCTGTCACTGGCCACCACCGAGAAGAGCCTGGTCCCATCCTCCCTGCATTCTCCCCTCACATGTTAATCAGATCCCCTCTCAGCCTTCTCTTCTCCAGGCTAAACAGGCTCCACTCACTCCATCCTTCCTCATACAACAGATGCTCCAGTCCCTTAATCATCTCTGTCGCTCTCCGCTGGGCTCTCTCTAGAAGCTCCATGTCCCTCTTGGCCCTCTTTCAACTCTGTGTTTCATTGCAGTACTCTGATAATTTTTTTTTACTGTTTTTAAGAAAGTAAAATATTGCTAAAATTATTTAAGCAACAAAGATAATACAGCAAACTTGTGCACTTTTAATTAGAGAATATTGAATTTCTTTTTTTTTACCTTTGTAATGATGTAAAGGAATTTAAAAGCCAAGTGGATTAGCGGGGGAGGAGATTCAGTGTCCCGTACTATATCCAACAATGAATTCATCATCCACTCTGATGAGAGAAAAAAAAAGTGAGACTACATAGAGTAGCTCTGAACTGCTCATACTTTTACTATAAAAGAAGGAGGTGACAGTCGTATATGTAACACCAGCTACAGCAAATTTGAAATGAAACTACAGATTTTTCTAGCTCAACAGATACATACAGAAACAATAAATTTAAAGAGATTTCTACCTAAGTGTCGATCCAACAGGTGAGGCTGCTCCTGGTACTTGTCCATTATAACTGAAAAGGAAAAGATATTTGTGAAAAAATCTATTCAAATTAGAGGTTACTAACAGCATTAATTGTGAGAGACACCTCTGATTCTAGATAGCTTTAGAACAAAATTTCAGGATCCTAAAGCGAAGTGTTGCCACCACGTGCAAACGAGGTCCAAAGTAAGAAGACTCCAGAGAAGGCAGGGTAACTGTACAGCCTGTCTGCTCCTAAAGCACAGCCACTTCCCGGGCCTGAATCCCACACTCCCTTCCAGGAGTTTCTCTCACTGCTGCGGACAAACCTCAGCCACACGAAACCGGCAGCCCCTCAGCTTCTTGTTTTCCACCTCTGCAAGCCAGTCCACGCTGCACTGCTACCCCTCAGCCTCCCAGCGCCGCTCTGCCCCGTCCTGCCTTGCTGTTCGCTTCTGCTCCCTGAACACCCCCACTCCCACTTAACTTCTACCCACTATTCCACAGGTTAACACATCAAGTAACTAACTCTTCTTACAGATACACAACAAGACCTAAACAGCAAGAAGTGCAGCAACCCTGAGGCTAATGCAGCCAGGGAAAAAGTCCCTGCAGATACCCACAGTGCCACCACAAGGGTATCTTCTTTCCCACGCTGAGGACGTATTTAAGGACCTGCATCCAAACAAGATATAGGAGGTGTGAATGCAAAGTAGCTACAGAAATAAAAGTTAGTTTTCAGAATATAAAACACCCAGTGTTAACAGAGTTATAAAATAACACTGATGATTACCTGGAACCTTTTACATATTTAGTCAGAAAATGTCTTTTTACTTCAAATTAAATATATTCTAAAACTTTCCTTTTCCTGCATTTGTTTCTCCCAACAATTTTCCTTTATAACCCTTTTACTCTTCTCGTCTTGATCACAGAATTAGATTTAAAACACAAGTTCAACAGAGCTATGTCCGACCCCTGCACCACACTGCAGGACTGCTTTCTAGGCACCAGCCAGCCCAAGGGCATCCTTGTGCCAGCCTACACAGCTCTGCTGGGTCTACAAGGTGTTGTTTACTATCAGGAGATGAAGCCTCAATTCCCAATTACCATGAACTTTCCCATGAAATTAATGATATCTTAAACCACTCACGAATAATGGAACTAGAAAATGCGAAAAGGGCCGCTATGCTCACAGCAAGAGCTTTCAACCAGAAATCTGGAATAAGACCCCAAAACAAAATGTTGATTGAAGAAACTAAATGAAAGTTTTTGTAATGTTATTACTTCAGAAAAAAGGGATCTTCCTAAATTTCCCTACAAAACTATGCTAGTAGATTAAAAAGTTGAACACCACAGACTTTTGAGATGGCTTCAAAGATCTGTGCTAAAATCCTCTGTAATTGGCCATTACTAATTTGCACACAGACTAAGCTACTTCCTAACCTTCAACAGCATATTCATACACCCACTTATTCTGTTATCATGTTTGGGACATCCTCTTTAACCCATGAAGTATGAAATGATGCCTTATGACACTAAATCTTACAAGCAGATACTGAATAATTCGTACCGTGCCAGAGTTGTGTGTGTGCATGTACACACACATGCACACACACGTGTATATTAGCTGGGCAATGGCATGTGCTTCCCATTGGGATTATAGAGTCATAAACTCCCATTTTCAAAGGAGATGCTCCCAGGAAATCTCAAAGATAGCATTTCAGTGGCTAGCCAAGGAATTTTCCTGTTAGTGACACAGAAGAGAGATGCATGCAGGTAGATCAGAAACACAGACAGGGTAAATACCCAGAGACTGTATATATGACGTGAGGCACGGCAGGATCATCAGCGCCACAAGCATACAAGGCTTCGCAGGGCATGAGATTTTTTAGAAAACACTTTGCTATCCCATCAAATTCTGCCTTTCTACCTACAATACTGAAGAATCAACATAAATATGAGTGTTACTGCTACTTCTTTATAGGCAGTCATGTGTTCACTGTTAACTTCCTCAGATAACTCCTGATGGGTTAAATATTCACGGATACAGGACAGATTAATAATTATCACAAGTTAGCGGAGCAATGTGTTGAAAAATCAGCAATCCAATTCCAAAACCATGGACAGTAAAGTGGTAGCAGGGGAATGTCGTGACTGCGATAATACCCTGACCAGATACCTCCATTCACAGCGCTGGCTGCCTCTTTTCCTCAGATCTACAACTCTTGATCTTCCGGGCCTTTTTATCCTCGAAAAGGCAAGAGAGAAAGAAGTTCCTCCACACTGGATAGCAAACAGCAGATATAACAACTTTGCCTCCACACTTCCTTATTCCTGTGCAATCTGTCCATGAATTCCTTTGTAGTTCCAGTCAGCTGCACTTCGGAGGTTATTTCCTGCTAGAATTTATACTACAGCCCAACAACCTTGGCAAAGCCAGATTTCTAGACATGGGGCACTTTGGTTTATCATTTGCTTACCTCGTTTCTTTTTGGTGAAAACAGAGAGCACAGCACTTTTTTGTTTGTTTGTTTGTTTTGTCGATATAAAGTTTCTGTAACATCACAATTTTTGCAAAAGCATTTTCAAAATGCTAATCCATTCATAACAATTTGGTTTGTAAATACACAAAACTCTGAATGAATTTTTGCAAATTAGCTGGCCAGGATGTCGCAGCCGTTCCACAGGAGAACAGTCTAGCAGCCTAACAACCCAGGACACTGTTCTGTAGGGATGGTAACAGCCAAAGCCCTGGAGCTGGAGCCTGGTGCTCACAGAGCCTCTGCCACACAACACAAGATCAGGGCTACTCAGCCACATCCGAGCTGCCTCTGTTCAGAGTCCATGAAGAATGCTGCCCACTACTTTTTATATTTTTCTATGAAATGTAAAATCCATAATAGTAAATTGCAATCGTAAAATATTAAGCATATGTATATCTAACAAGCAGTTAGATACTGAATTTGATAAAGACACGCAAATAACAAAAAAATATACTCTTCCTTCTTCCTCCTCTGCTCGCGCAACTTTAACACTTACCATAGCATTTACTAGTTCTATTGAACAGTGTGTCTCAGTTTGGTCCTCAATCACCTTTGTGGACTTTTGCACAGCTGAAACTTTTGACAGCTGATAAACTTCTCCATTCAGTTCCAGCACTTGGCTCTGCAAGAGCTTCTAAATCTGACTTTTTGCGCACTGAACGGATCACAGAATCACAAACAACTGCTTGCTTCTCAGAAGCACTGTAGGGCTGTACTTATAGTAAAAGTCTACACAAGCTGCAGATAATAAGCTCTTCTTGAAGGTAATCAGGCCGGCCTTCTACCTTCCGCACGTTGAGCTGTTTGCCTGTGATTTACACACACTCCTGGAAACCTTCCCTGAATTAACATTGCCTGAAGTTGCACGGGAAATGGCTGGCTAAGCAAGCTTCAAAATTCAGTTTCCTTAAATCCAAGACCTGAGTTTTACCTACCGTGTCGGCACAGAGTATACACCTGGAAAACGAATCAAGGTAAACACATACACACATGTGGCTAAATGAGCAGTCACTAAAGCCCGAGTCCTGCTCCCCGCTGGACCCGCGGCCCCCGTCCCACACCGAGGCCGCGCAGCGCTCACCGACGAACTTCTCCACGATCACCTCGCGGGCGGACGGGTCCCCGTGGGCGGCGCGGAGGCCGCCGAGGAGCTCCCGCACCTCGTGGCTCTCCGTGAAGCTCTCCAGGATGTTCCCCCGCGCGACGGCGTCCGGCTCCAGGCTCTCCCTCACCTCCTCCT